TAATAATAAAAATAAATAGCTGAACAAAAGGACCCCAATCCCAATATAAAACATTCTCGATAAAATTCATGCAGAATGACTTAAACCTACTTAAGATGTTCTATTATGCGGGCGAACGACTAAATAAATAATCATATTTATCATATCTGTCAATTTTTTTATTACTCTGCTGACACAGGGTGCAAACAATACTTCACCTGATTCGTCGGTCTATAAAGAAGCGGCTGCCATCGACGTGACTAGCAATCTGTTGTCTATGCGGAACAAAACATGCACGAACTAACATTACACAAATTTGAATATCCCTATATACTCTTCTTTACCGTGTTTGTTATTCAGCAATATTTCCTACCGGGCGCAGACAGGCCCCCTGACGCGACGCTGGTTACCTCACTTGCTACAAAATGAAGCTTCTCTGAGAATTCCACAATCTTCCAATGCTGCGCGGTCTAGGCCAGATGGGTCAACGAACTCTAGCTGGAGGAGCTTGTGGCTCTGCGTCAAAAACGGCCTCTGACAAGCCACATAGCTACGAAGTCCCACTGCGTGAAGGAGCTTCACAATGGTGAAGAGAGAGACCTGCTGGCCAAGTTGTCGTCGAATTTCGGCTGCAATCGTGGACGGGTCACAGCGAACAGCAGCTATAATCCAGTGGCCTTTCTCTTCCGTGGTTTCTCTAGGCCGTCCTTCACGCTCCATGTCCCATACTTGTCCCTTTACTCTGAATGTACGAACAATGTGGGTGACAGTTCTTAGGACACATCCTATTTCAGCGGCAATGCGCCTTCTCGTCCTACGCCCTTTTGCACAAGGGTCAGCATACGCACCCTGATCGCCTAATCAACCCGCAGCATCTTTGCCTCTTCCGGTGCAGTTCTTAGGTTACAGTCGCATTCATAGCCAATATTACCACGCAGTGCTAACTTGCAGGCTTTAAAAGCCAAGCCCGAAGAGCGGCGGTTAAATCCCGCGAGTCAGGATGGCTATCCTTCAAGAACTCTTATAAAGCTCGCCTATATGTGAGCCACAAACTACTGGTTTGTAAGACAGTTGTTTTTTATTGACTACATTTTGAGATTTTACGTTAGAGCAGTGCTTCCACCTTACGAGCACCCACTCACTATGCACATTCTATTAAGGTAGTGCTCTATCTCAAGTGCCGTAGACGCACAGCTCATGGCTCATAACGTAACAAGATTACAACAACAAAAAAAAGAGTGCCGTCTCACATGTGACCCATCCCCCTCAAAAAAAAAAAAAGGCAGGCGCAAAAAAAAAGTTTCTAGAAACGATGACTAAAGAGAGATTCACAACTTGCCTTGAGTCCGATTGAGTGGGAGGATTTCTATGGTAACAAGCTGCGTCGGCTCCACCAAAACTGGTTTTTACCACGTTTTGTTAGAGCCAACGCAGCTGTTGCCATAGCAACCCTCGCACTCGGTCGAACTGCACGCAACTGTGTGAATCGCACTTGAATCTCTCGAAGCACTCCTGCGATTCAAAGATAGGAACGTCCCGGCCACTCTCGCTTCGCTCCCCGTGTTATCGCAAAATACAGCGTCGCGTGTGGCGGTTTCACCGCAGCGGCCACGGATCATTTTGTGCTAATCTTTTTTACGGCTGACTGTATGTTTGGAATTTGAATTTTCCAAGACGTGGCAAATACGTTCGTCCTTACGTCCGCCCTTGTACCAGCAGTGTCACCGCGGGTTAAACTGACAGTGCAGTAGAAGCTACGTGCCCGTGGGACTATAATGCTCCCTTTCAACTTACGATGGCCGCAGCGGACGCTACGAGCGCGATGAAAGAGAGAGGTGTCTGAACCGCACCACCTCGACACAGACAAAGCATGGCGAAGGATCGCTCGCATTTCTCAGAAGCGCCGTGAGATGGCGCAGTGTGTAAGGGGCCAACAAGAGCTAATCGAAGAGCCGCCCTAATTCGCGCGCACGTCTGCAAGGCCGCATGGCGCGCGCGACTGCACCTCCGCGAAGGCCCCAAACCGACAGTTACTCCTGCAGGGATATGCGCGAAGCGCGAGCTAACTTTGACCGGCTGGCTTTGTTCAGATACCTCTCACCCTGTACCATGCGATAACGTGCTCCGTGCGTTGCCCGCGTCCATCCTGAAAGTCACATGTGACGCTCACACTGTATGTGATAGACTTCGCGACGACTCGAATTGTGTCCTCCGTGGTTCTTCATAAAAGGCCGGTTCGCACGTAATAAAAGCCGGTTCAAATATGCATTTCAACACGAGGAGCAGCGCCAATGGAGCGCTGACCTTGAACGTAGCTTAACACTGCGGGGTATGAGTGCTGCACCACTAATATAGCACAAGGTTGGTGCTGCCTGAGCAAGATCAGCGCTATTTCCAGCGCAGACTATAAGCGCTGAGGCATCGACTCGGTGTATCTGCGAAGAGGCAAAACGGCCCGGTTCACACGGCTTATACATCGTACAATAGACAGTATTCAAACACTGTCTGGGGTCTGTTTCTTCCTAGTATAATGGTCCTGCCCCATTGGTCGCACAAAAAAAAAAACTGAAAATGTTCAAAGCATACATGCGAACGAAGCAAACCCGCTTAATTCGAACTCGCTTGATCCGAAAAAGCCTGCGGCGTGTCCTCAGTCATAGCCTCCTGTATACTGAAAATGCCTGGCAGATGGCCACGAGACGCGGCCGCCGAAAGTGAAAAGGTAGAGCGGCAGACAACGGATGAGAGGAGAGGCCAGACCCATATATGGGGAGAGTCTGGCCAGTGGGTGTGGCCAGGCCGGCGCAGCCGTAGCCTTGGCTATTGTAACGCGCTCCGGGCGTTCGAGCGAGCGACCCGAAAGAAAAATCCATCAATGCAACCCTGTTTGGCAGTCAATATTTTCTAGTGGACCGCTGACTGTGCCTGACTGTACGTCAAGCATGTCTGATTGGCCAACAAGTTACTCTGACCGACGGTCAAACTCCAGTCAGACTCCACTTGTCGGCTTTCTGATGGTTTCCTAATGGCAGTTGGCCGCCGCGAAATGCCATCAAGATGTATTGATGGCGGTTCTGATTGTACATCGATTGGCTCTGACTGTACATCAAAAAGCTTTGACGTGCAGACAGACGTACGGTCAAAGGACGTAAGGTTGTTCGGGTACCACTATTTCGTCAAATCTATGAATACGAAAAATAATCTATGTACAAGAAAACGATTTCGGGACGTGAGCCCATAAAACCGCTGATGTTAGAGATATGACACGCAGCCGACCGGCAACCTTGATCAGAAGCCCGCCGAACACGCCACTTCGCTGACTTCGCTTTGCCCATAGAGGCTTCGCCGAGCTTCCATGAAGATCGCTCTTGACTCGTTTTGTTTGCTCGCTTGCTCCAACCTGTCGATCCTGCCCGGGCTCTACAATGTCTTATGTTTTAGTAGAATTTCTACTCGACAAGACCCAGCCTGTTGTGAGTTCCGACGATGTAAGGGACTTTAGCGGTGTAGTTGAAGACGACAAGGTGTACCAGGTCTACTGGGCCGGAGACGCGCGAATAAAAGGATCGTCCTACGGCGCTAAAGTACTCTACATGGCAGGTGAGTAGAACTGAAGTACGGCGAGTGATGTACGAGTGCTTTGCATAAAATGCTGAAGGCTTAACTGCATTTGCAGCCGAAGCATCTCGTATAAAACGGATGGTCAAATCGAGTTTCCTAAGCGGTGGCATAGCATAGGGGTTAAGGCGTCCGCCTTGTACGGAAGTGGTCGCGGGTTCGTTCCGCGGTGTTCCTGCTTTCTTTTTCTTTTTTTTTCGAACATTTTGTTTTATCGAGGCATTTGGCGATATTTATGAGTGCGTATAGCTTTACGTTTATATAAATGCTGCCCTTGTCGATGAAATTCCCTTGGCAGTGGCAGTCAGACGCCATCTGATGGTCCATCACGTTCCACCAAGGCTGCTGACTGGCAGTCAGTGCCCTAAATTACGTATCTTGATGGAATTTTCAATAGGGGAAGAAGCCAAAAAAGAGCGACCGATGAGCAAAAAAAAAAAAGTGAAAGCCGTTTACAAATCCCTGTAACGCCGAATTGGAGCGCAGCTCTTGAGGAGGAGGAGTGAAGGGTACTGAGGGGAGGGTAGACCCTTCCTCCTCCCCTCATTCTTTAATATGCTCCGGGGGGGGCGGTCACGTGACCTCGGGGGGGGGGGGGGGGGTGTCACGTGACTTCGGGGAGGGGGTCACGTGACCTCGGGGGGTCACGTGACCTCAGAGGGATCACGTGACCTGGGGGTCACGTGGGGGTCACCTTGGGGTCACGTGACCTTGAGATGACCTTGGGAGGGGTCACGTGACCTTGGGGGTCACGTGACCTTGAGGTCACGTGACCTTGGGGAGGAGACCACGTGACCTCGGGGGTCACGTGACCTCAGAGGGGTCACGTGACTTGGGGTCACGTGACCTTCAAAGGGTCACGTGGGGTCTTGGGGTCACGTGACCTTGAGATGACCTTGGGAGGGGTCACGTGACCTCGAGGGGTCACGTGACCTTGGGAGTCACGTGGGGTCACGTGACCTTGAGATGACCTTGGGAGGGGTCACGTGACCTGGAGGGGTCACGTGACCTTGGGGGTCACGACCTTGGGGGTCACGTGACCTTGGGATGACCTTGGTTACGCCGACGGCGACGGCGGCGGCGACGGCGACGGCGACGCCGCTCAAGCCGGGAACGGGCCCCTAAAGGCTGAACTCCATGGAGCGAATATGCGACGAATAACCGACGAACTTTTTGCGGCGGCGTTCGCTCTTGCCGCGGCGTCAAAAAACTGGCTGTTCGTCGCGTATCTAGCCGAGCTAGATATTGTGCGCCCGGCGAACGCCGCTACCGGAAGCGGCCGATGCGCGGCGGAGGACGCGGGCCAATGAGGACGTAGTACGCGATCCCACTTCCGCCTGGCACCGAAGTTTCGAAGGTGAGCGCTCTTTTGGCGCACCTCCGTGATTCTGTCAGCGTGTACTATGGAGTCGCAGTGCGCGGTGCCGAAGTCGAAAAAAGACTTAAAAGCAGCGCGGTTGGCTTATAATGACAAGCTCATTTGTGCGGTACAGAAGCGGCCGATTTTGTGGAACTTTACCCTGGGTGACTACAAACATCACAGGAAAAAGCTTTCGATCTGGGACGACGTGTTGGAGGAGGTCGGCGAAGAGCCCGAAGGCAAGAGTACTTTTGTTTTGGTGGCATCATGGCGCAGCTTACTACTGCGCAGTTGTTAGATTAACCGACCGGTACTGTACTGTAGAGGGTTGTTGCAAGGGAAGCTGGTTGCATGTACCGATTTGTGGGCATAGTCACACTCCGCCATTCAGATGGAAGATTCTTTGACAAAAAGTCAGTGGCGTAGCCAGCAATTATATTCGGGAGGGTGGAGAGGGCTTTTTCTCATCTTTGCGTGTAGTAGGCGATATACAGTACCTTTCATGGCATTCAATATTTGTCTTCCTTTACTAAAACAAAAACATTTTGTGGAAGTTGGCCGCCTGACACGTTAAGAAATGGGAGGCAGGCACACCAGATGACTCCGGCGCAGGTGCCAAGAAAATCTTCTAGTGCTAATCCAAGATGCTGTTCTACCTAATGGACTTACCACTGCGCATTTGTACGATTAGCCGGCTGGTACTTTACTGTAGGGTGATGTTGCAAGGAAATTTGCTTACATGAATTGTATTGATTTCTAGGCAACACTCCGCAATTCCGATGGAAGAGTCTTCGTGACACATTCACAAAGAAATTCAAGAAATGGAAGGTAGGCGCACCAAGTGGTTCCGGCGCAGATGGTGCCAAGGAAGTCCGCTGGTGCTACTTCAAAATGATGTTCTTCCTAAAGGACTTTGTCGATGTTCCAAGGCATGTGTGCAGGTCTTAGAGATATCGGAAATTAGGTCAGATTTAGTTGATCCGCACCAAGCACATCTGCAGATTGATTACTGCAGGGCCCAATTTTTCACTGTGTGCACTCTCTTTCTCTTTGAGTCCAAATTTTGTTCTCCCCCCCATGTCAGGCTACCTTCTACCTTTTTTTTAGGCGAGATGCCCGATATATAGGGAATTTTAAGCATCCACAACACAAAAAACACGGCGTAAAAAGTAACACAAATCTGCTTGCCTACATGAAAGTTTGTCTCTTCTTGATATCAAAAGGAATAAACAATTTTTGCTTCGATCACATGGTAAAACAGGGCAGTGGCAAATGCTTTATTAAGCAGTACAATAATTATTGCTTACCTTTCTACATTACTTTTTTAGCACCACAAGCAGCATGGTGCAGGGGTGCACAAAGACTCAGGAGAGCGCAGAGGCCGTCCTCATGGAGATTTACAGTGAGCGAAAAGGTAACAAACAACGTATTGACTGAGAACGAACATTATTGGTACACCAATGCACCAGCCAACTTGGGGACAACTGTACCTACTGTACACTTTTAGAGCTCTTATAGTAATGCTCTATTGTAGAGCCTGGCCTGCTTGACAATAAGTTGTCAAGACATCTCCTTACCTGATGAATTATGAATACAGGCAGTGTTAATTTATTGTTATGACTTTTATGGCACATTTTTCTTCTAGACCCGCTGGAGCACGGTGATGCACCAGACATCCTGAGCTCAGACAGCTCTTGCAGCCTGTCAAGTGAGGCTGCATCACCAAAGGCACCACCAAAGGCCAGCACTTCAACTGCTCCCAAAAAGCGATGTGGCGTAAAGTCAAACCGAAAGAAAAGCAGAGTTGATGTTGAACTAGACAAGGTCGACGAGCAGCTCGATCAAGTAGAAGAGGTTGACGAGTGCGCCCTCTTCGGTGAAATCATGGCCCACAAGATGAGGCTGTGCCCACAGCGACTGAGAACTGATTTTCAGATAGGTGTGCTTGGGGCAGCCAAGAAGTTTGAGGGGGAACAATAAACTACTTGTGCACACAAATCATTTGCCTGATGCAGTCTGCCTAAAAGTGTCATTCGATTAAGACTGTGTCTGATGTGCAGCTTGACACTGCAGTTAAATGCTAATAGTAAACGGTGTTATTCACAACTATGTTCCGTCTCGTCCTATAGTGGACAAAGAGACAAAGCTACAAGCCGCCTGGTCCAACCATGAGCCAGCTAGAAACCGTGTTGTATTATTGTTCCGGTGTGCGTGTCATGTGAGAAATATAGCACTTGCTTTCTAGCTGGCCAATGATTAGACCTGGAGGCCAGTAGCTCTGGCTCTTAGTTCATTGTAGAGCCAGATACGGTAAGTAGGCTAAAACTGCAAAATAGTATGATCATGTCCCATCACGCCAGTAATAGCAATTAAAACAAGTGAGAGGGAATACATGTTTTAATGTGTTTGATAGGTACACTTTCTGCTTATGTGCAGATCAATACAACCACTACCGGTTTGTGTTGGCATTCAGGTCTCCATGCAATGAAAATATATACCGTATTTTCCTAACTATAGTCTGCAAAGGCAAAATTAAGGTCAAAAATAAGTTTTTGCTTGGATAGTCCGCACGCCGTGCTTAGTCTGTGCCTCGTCTGAATGTAAAAATTATCATATGCAGCACACCTTGACAAATGAAACGTATAACAGCGACAAGATTCTGGGGGGTTTGGCCGAGATTTACGAACCGGTGGTAGTGTTGCATCATCGTCTCGAGCAAGAGCCCTATTAGCTTCACAAAGAAGCTTGTATCACATATAAATCAACATTAATGTACCCCGTTATTAATAAAACCCTTCCCACCTTGAGACACCTGAACGATCTAGAAAAAAACAAATCTTTGTATAGTTTGTGCCCATAGCTAGTCCAAATCGGGTGAAATTTCAACTTTTAAACATGTATGGACGGGAAAATGTGGTAATAACACAAATTCAATTTTATTAAAAAATTCAAGCTTATTTGTTTTATGCTAAGAGACCCTGTACCACCTTGTAAGTAGCCAGACTGGCCTTGGACCTCATTGCATTGGTGGTGGCTGAAGACCCGTGTGTGCCACTGCCAGCGAACTGCGCCTTTCTTCATAAAGTACTCTACGAAGGTGCTCCGCGTCCCACCAGCAGTTTTCTTAAAGTTTTTTGCAGAAGTACGCTGCAAGTCACTTAAGTGGCTTTTATCTACTTCAGATCTCCACCTACCCAGAGTGACATTTCCCTGTTTATCCTCAGTGTCTACATACTCTGCTGGCATGTATGCTTGTTCTCGTCCTGCACACAAAAAGTTATGAAGAACGCAACATGCCAGGACGACAAACTCGGCATTTTGTGGAAGGAGGTTCAGTCGACCGAGAAGGACCCTCCACCTGGCTGCCAAAATTCCAAAGCCGTTCTCCACGATGCGTCTGCAACATAATATTTTTGTCTTCGTGACAACATAACAGTAGTGTGTACATACATGAGCTAGAAAAGCTGTCCCCCAAAATTAACTATAAAAGTAATAAATGCTTGTCTACGTTATTTGCTTCACGAAAAATGGGATTATATTTTTAAATATAATTTTAAACGCGAGCACAAAGTTCGAAATCGAAACTTCGGCTCCATCCGCCAACATTGGCCTAGGGCCACCAAGAACACGGCTATCACGTGGTACGAGATGTCACGTGATCCTCTAGGCAACGACGGGCGGAATCGGGGCGGGCGTGTGCCAAGCGTAAGCGTCGTCTGCACCGCACCCTTTACCATATTTTGGTGTCTACGACGTTCGACGACGTCTGCAAATCTGTGACAGAAGTCCGCACACGTAGCATACGTAGTGCGGACGAAACTCCGAGGCGATAATCACAAACAATGAGACGACGATGGCGGTTGTGACGCGGAAACAATGGTAATGGCAGGACCACGGTGGGGCGGCCGGACAGCTCTTAAGAAGCGCGCTGCGCAGGCTTGTTATGCCAATAATGTGGACACTGCTGAGCGCCGAAAGGAAACGTTGCTGACGTCACCCGTTACGCTTGCTCGGAGAAGTAAAAACAAGCAAAAGGGGGCCATGGTGATGACTTTTAGCTCAATGCTGCCTATGCCCATGCCATAGCCTTGACTGCACTGTTGGTTGCGCCTCAATTCGCCCTCTCGAGTAAGCCAATTTTGACAACTTGGCGAGTTGCAAAGTTTGCCAGAGCGCTTAAGAAACATTTAGACAGAACTAGGACATAATTTTTTATGTGTGGTCTTCCTAGGTGATACTGAAGAGGACTGCACTGTTTTTTCAAAAACAAAAATGAAGTGGAGTTATTCTTTAAGTAAACAGAAGTTAACTTTTGATTATCAGTCTCTCCTAGCATAGTATATTTGTTTCTAAATCTGACACATCTTGTCTTTTCGTACCTTGCTCGGCTCAGCCTATAGTTGAAGACATTATGGTCTGGCTCGAGGTCGGCTCCAGGAAACGGGCGCATGAAGTCATGGCGAAGCTGAAAAGCTTCATCGCCCACAAACACGTGCGGTGTCACTTTTGTGCTCTTCGGAAGCTTCGCTGGGCCTGGAAGTTCCAATGTTTCGTTCTCCAGCCGTCTCCCAAACTCTGAGGCCTTAAAGACACCCCCATCGCTGTGTCTCCCTGGGGCACCAACGTCAACCATTACAAACTTGTAATTTGCGTCCACCACTGCCATGAGTACAATGGAAAAGGATTTCTGAAAAAAAAAATGGCATTGCATCAATTATAGTGTCAGCATATGTTCCAAAGAAACTACCGCTTACGAGATGTCATAGTGGGGACTTCAGCTTAATATTGGCCATTCCAAGCTCTATTTCACAATCAATTATAACAAAGTAATCTGGCACATTTCTGTTCGATAAAATCTGGGACAAGAAAGTCATAACACCTTCAGAAACCATTTTAACTGTAGTGATACAGGTATGTACAAGGTAGAGTAGGCTTTACCGACTCGCACCAGTGCACACACGAGGCTTCTCCTACTGCCCCAGTGCACTGGAAGAAGCAACCAACGCACAGGAGCACCTAAGTTAGCTGAATAAGCTTATGTTTCTGACGTGGGCATTCAATATGCCCTCAGCGAGTTTTTCAAACGTTTGAAACCTGCCAAGTGGGTGCTTATTATGGCATAGATATATTATCAATATTTTACGCTACTACAACTTAACAAACCATTAAAGGGGCCTTTATGATGATTCCACGAAGATTAAGTCAACAAACAAAAGTGATATCAAATCGTGTTTTACAGACAGCATGGAGTACAAGTTGTGGAACCTCTGGGACCAAACCTGCCCTCTGTACCTTCAGGTGGCACAATGTGGTGCACCAGTGTCACAAGTAGAATGTCGTGCAATGCTGGCGACAATGATTTTTCTACATTATGAGACACATAATTATTGTGTAATGAAACAATAACAAATAGTTGCTACATTTTTTCTTTTCGAAATGCAGTATTCAATGCAAAAAGCCAACTCACAAGTCATACAATTAATAACCTATTCCCAAATAGACACCGCACATCTGAAATAAAACAGTGCAAAAGATACAAAGGAAGAGACAAACTGGACAGCACAGGGTGCTGAAAAGGAGAAAGAAAAACACATGTTGATCCACGCAATCACTCGCGCACCTTTCACCCATGGTAGCTGACTACGGCACGCGCTGGACCATCATTGTCAACTTCAGGAATTCCAGCTCATTGCCACATAACGCCGCTGATGCTGCGCTGATACAATTTTCTTCTCTACTCTGGATGTGGAAGGCCTCCAGCATCTCGCGTGTCACTGTGTCCCTGTGTCGTCCCAAGATGGTGGTGGCACAAAAAAAAACGGCTCGCACAGGCACTCTTGGCAGTGAACCGATAGGTGTCCTCCCACTGTCGCTCCGATGGAGTACCTGTGCACGCGGAGCCTATCATTCAAGCAATGTCCCATTTACCCCACATAGGTGCAGCCGCACGAGAGGGGGATACTATAGACTACTGCCGTAACTCATAAGACGAACGGCCTGACGTGCTTCTTACTACACTTGTTCCGTGCTATTCCCTTTCCCTACTACCCCAGAGTTAATGCAAAGGTGGAGGGAATAGCAAGGAACAAGTGTAGTAAGAAGCAAGTCAGGCCGTTCGTCTCATGAGTTACGGCAGTAGTCTACAGTATCCCCCTCTTGTGTGGCTGCACCAATGTGGGATAAATGGGACATTGCTTGAATGATAGGCTCCGCGTGCACAGGTACTCTCTCGAAGCGACAGTGGGAGGAAACCTACCAGTTCACTGCAAAGAGAGCCTGTGCGAGCCGTTTTTTTGTGCCACCACCATCTTGGGACGACACAGGGACACAGTGACACGCGAGACGCTGGAGGCCTTCCACATCTAGAGTAGAGAAGAAAATTGTATCAGCGCAGCATCAGTGGCGTTATCTGGCAATGAACTGGAATTCCTGAAGTTGACAAGGAGGGTCCAGCGCGTGCCGTAGTCAGCTACCATGGGTGAAAGGTGCGCGTGTGATTGCGTGGATCAACGTGTTTTTTTTTCTCCTTTTCAGCACTCCGTGCTGTCCAGTTTGTCTCTTCCTTTGTATCTTTTGCGCTGTTTTATTCTATTATGTACAACGATTACCAACTAGCCCAGCTATCAACCTTATTACAACACATCTTGTACCTTGTAGTTGAAATAGGTGCTCCCCGAGTTTGGCGGTGCCTTTATGTGGACGTGTTTCCCATCTACTGCCCCGAGGCAGTTTGGGAAGTTCCACCTCCTTTTGAAGCCATCCGCGATGTTCAACCACTGTTCATTTGTTGGCACCTAAGAACAGTGACATATTTGTAAAGTGGGACCCCAAAACAAGTAAATTTGAGCCACGACAGCAAATTGTGGCCAACCATGCAGTTCTCTTGTATAGATAACAGGTAACAGGAAAGCCCTGCAAAATAAGGAAACTGGCCAAGTCATACACTACAAATACATATGAATGCTTACATGCCGTATACACAAACTCATGTTTACGAACAAAGTGGAGCGCCTTTAGCCGCACGCCACCAGCGTTGCAACCCGTGTCAACAAACCATTGGAATGTGATGCTGTCGGCGTCGGTGTGAGTCCCTGTGCCTTTTTCGCGTTGAAATTTTTTATTCTGCGTCTTACTAGAAATATTATATTACTTTAATGGCCTTAGCAAAATTAACAAGGCTGGTCACAATGTAAAACTGTGGGTACATCATGTGACGTTCTGCAATTCATTCCATGTGAATGTTGCAGAATGGACGCTAAAGCCTGATTCACATAAGACTCTGCTTGCTATTTCCAATCGTGATGTCGCTCAAGCTGCCAAAGTGCGGACTGCAGTTGCGATGCTCAACGTCTTTAGTGAAAATTGCAAACAGAATTTGAACAAGTGAATTGGGCACAACACGTCGGTGATCAACACTATAGTAACAATGCTCAACACCTCCTTGTATCTGCTGTTTACACCTAGACTACTTATCCAAAAAACCTTTAAACGTAGGTATTTTGAGGCCCGCCTTTCGTATTGGCATGTTTGGTACACTGGCCGTTGTCGTTTGGAGCAGACGACAGTTTAAACAAGTCGAGGGAGCAAGTTTGAGGGAGCAGACGACAGTTTGAACGATCAGACGGCCATTTGAACGTGAAGACATACTGATCGTGGTCTGCGGGTGGACTAGAAAACTTTATGGTTTTCCCCGCATTCATGTTGGAACAAAGCAAACAAATTTGACGACCACAAGTATCCATGAATTCAACCCAAGCAGCTGCCCGCACAATCAATTGTGGTCCAACAGTGTCTGGATTTCCCTTTTCACGGCACCTATTCACGTTTTCGGACGAACTGAGCAGGCAGAAAACGCATGAAAACGGATATTCACACTTTTCCTGGCTCTTTCAGTACAGCCCCAGTCGCGGCATTTTGACAAGAAGGCAAGTTTTAGTCTGGTTTCTTCCAAAACAAAACGGGAATGCCCATCCAGCAAGGCGACTTCCACCCACAAGACCAGACCAGAAGTGTGCCTGAAGCACCACCACCGCGGCGTGAGGAAACAGAGTTGAGTTGGTAACATCATTGAAAGAAAACCTGAGACTGAGACAAATAAAATAACGAACAGCACGACACAGAATCTGTTGAGACATTCTGTGTCGTGCTGCCAGTTATTTTATTTGTCCCAGTCTCATGTTTTCTTTCAATGATGTTTCCTAACCAGCTTGTCTGCATACTTTCCCTCTACTTAGTTCTTTAAATCAATGAAAAAACAACAATCCTACTTACCGGAAGGTATGTTGCCCTCAACCTACTCCAAAGAGCTCTGCAGGTCTCGTGGATGACCTTCCGGCAAGTCTGGGGACCAACCCTGAATGCCAGGGCCACATCCTTGATGGCGCTGCCAGAGGAAAGGTACCTGGACATGGGAATAATCTGAAATTTTAGGTTTTTGTTTACCTTAACAGACATCTGAAGATTTCTTTTAATTTGTGGTTGTACCTAAGAGTGATGGCAAGCCTCTGTTCAGAAGATAGTGGCTCACGGCAGAGAAACTCTTTCGTCAAGTCGTCACGAACAAGAGCATGAAGTTGATCGAATTTGTCTGGCATCATACGGTAAAATTTGAAGAATAGAGGAGGATCATTTCTCATGACTTGCATCTGGAAGAGTAGCACAAAACCATGATAAACAAAGCAATCAGATGAACCAATCACAAGATTATTCATATAACGAACGTAATTATCGGCATTCTATAGGTAATAGCTGGATTATTCTTGCCTGAAAATGTATTTCGTTTAAAAGCAATGTGCAACGATTATGTTACATTTAACGCGCATTACCCAGTGCTGACACACAACAGTAGGCTGGTACGGTACGGGTAGGACTACCCCGGATGCCTCGGTTCTGGAGCGCGAGCATTTGTGATCTTGTATGCAACTTGGCCTCTGCCCGCACACGATTCAGCGAATATATATAGAATACAAAAATATTGAACCAACCTACTTAAAGCGCGAACGTAGAAGTAGCTAAAAGAGAGAGCTTTTAAATTGCTAAGAACGCGCGCGCTTGTGCAATGCATGCGTCGTTGAGGGCGACATTCTTGCTCTTATAACTTTTGTTTGAGCGATGCTATATCCACTACGTAGTGCAGCTCCCACGGAAGTTGCTTTATGCACGACAGGGCGGAGAGCTCATGCCATTTGGGTCACCCTTTTCAGACGGCACGTGAGTCACTGAGCAGCTCGTTAACCCACCCCGCACCTGCGTTCACGCCGCTTCGCGCCGTCGGTCTGCGGCTGCTAATTACAAACCTATACGCCTCGCAAGTGGGCTCATTTTCGTCTTCTGCGCATGAGAAAGGAAGTAGCGGTGACGTCAGAACGCCGAGCCCTGATTGGCTGATCGCGACCCCCTATCTCGGCGTCGTCTGCTCCTTTGCAACGTCGTCCGCTCGCAACGTCGTCTGCGTCTGTCTTATATGCCTCGCAAGTGGGCTCATTTTCGTCTTCTGCGCATGAGAAAGGAAGTAGTGGTGACGTCAGAACGCCGAGCCCTAATTGGCTGATTGCGACCCCCTATCTCAGCGTCGTCTGCTCCTTTGCAACGTTGTCTGCTCGCAACATCGTCTGCGTCTGTCTTACCTTTCCTGCGACTTTGGGAAGTGCAGGTCTTTACGAGCGAGCTCAAGTTCGCCTTTCAGAGAGGGCAGACGAAATAACCTGAGCGGTAGGTCGTTTATGTCTAACTAGCAGACGCGTATCAAGGAGGGAAGTCAAAGGACTCACTGGCGAGGTGTCCCGAGGCGCCGAGGTTTGTTTGCTAAGAACCGAGAGTAAGCGTGTTAGTGCCCGCAAGTTCCCTCCCAAATACTTTTTCCCTCCTTTCGTGTGTGGCGAGACCCCTCATTCATTAACGGCGTCGGCGCGTTGGCGCAGTTAACGTCGTCTGCTTTACGTCTGCTAGTCAAAGCGATGGCTGTTTTACCTTTCCTGCGTCTGTCGGAGATTCACCACTTTTTCACCGGCGAGAGTCACCGTTGCCTCGGGAAATTAGGAGATAACAAGAGGAAGAAAGTGACCTCTTAATCTAAAATTGAGGTCAGCAATCAAAGTATAATACGGGAAGGGTTCACAAGGGTCGCGCGGGCATATTCCATTCAGCACGCCAGCCAGTTGTGGGCAGACGGTCGCCGAGTCGCGGAGTGCCTGCTAGGCCTAACTGCCATACTCGCTTGGTCGTGTTCGGTGTAATCGTGGCCGTTTGAGCTTTTTCCGGGTGTTTGTGGATTCTGCGTTCTTGTTCGTCGTAATCTGTTTCAAGTACTTTTTACTTTTTTCTTGCTGCTTGAAGTCGGGACGCGTGAGAAGCGCACGTAGAAAAATAAACGTCAGTGGGTCGTCGCGACAGCGACGCTGTCGGCCATGCGATTTGATCGTAAGAAGTGCGTAAGACAGCTTCGGAGCTGTCGTAGGATTCCGTCGTAACCTGCGCAAAACTTACGAAAATTTTGTTTCGTGAATACAAATTTGTTCTCAAGTTTTGTCTTACACACATTTTTGGCGTAAGATCGTTTCGTGAATCTGGCCTCTGCACTTCCGAAAGTCGCAGGAAAGGTAAGACAAACGCAGACGACGTTGCGAGCAGACGACGTTGCAAAGGAGCAGACGACGCTCAGATAGGGGGTCGCGATCAGCCAATCAGGGCTCGGCGTTCTGACGCCACCGCTACCCCCTGCGCAAGAAGCAGACGAACTTGCCCTCCGCATTAGCCCACTTGGCTCCACGTACAGAACGCTTCGCGGCGTGCAGCCGGCAACCCGCTATCCACCACTGCATCTCCGGAAAGGGAATGTCGACGAAACTTTGCTAAACTAAATGGTATCATTTAGTTCAGCAAAGTTTCGTCGAAATTATTTTTTTTTTCAGTGATATGTGTAAAAAAAAATAATGTTGTAAATTCTGCTAAATGCACTGTGAAAAAAAAAAAAAAAAAAAGTAGTTTTGCTCCGTGGCTCGAACCCGTAACCTGCTGCGTATGAAGCAGACACCTTTCCGCTGCAGTAAGCTGCAGCTTCGAAAAATTCGTTTTGACAAATCGAGTTTCGCGTAGTATATATAGCAACTTTCGATAGAGCTGCACTACGTAGTGCACATAGCATTACTCCTTTCGTTTTGCGTTCTCAATTAAAGTGAGAAGGAGTGAAGCAGCCCCGAGTACTACATCAAAGGCCTGCGCACGAGCTTATAAAATTGAAAGATATTTTTCTTCCTCTTGCTGGACGAGGTCTCGAGCGTCTTGACTTAGCACTGCCGTGCCGCTCACTCGCTCAATTTTCCAAGGAAATCCAGTCCTCCATATTCTTTATTAGCAACGCTGACGCCGGGTATAGGCACGTAAGCTGGCCCCGTATGCATCAGTCTCTTGGCGCTTGCATTGGGTTACTTACCGCTGTGTCGAACTCGCCTTCTAACTTTCTCTTCTGCCATATGGGGTGTACCCAGAACCGTCTCCTCTTCTTTTCTTGTTGGAGTTGTTTCAAGAGTAACAGTTTCTTCTTCAGCAGAAGAAGCCGTCGCCGGCGGTTAAAAGGGTTCATACTCGCGAAGCTTTCAGGAAAAAACTCTGCTCTGAACCTCTAAACAAGCTTAAAAGTCTTCACAATGCTGAAAAAGAAAACCATAGAAACTCGATGCACAGTGTTACAGACCAATCATGCTCCCCGCCTCATCTGGAAAATCCTTTTCCAAACAAACACTTAAAGGCATATTAAAACTCAAGAGTACATTATTATAAGTTACTTTCTCGTTTCATCGAATTTGTTTCGCGCTTTCTACAAATATGGCGTGTTTAAACAAAGGTTTATAATTGCTTGGTTTTAGTTGATATCACGTCCCCTCTTGGCAACACTGACTGTCGCGCTGGTCGCCGCCGACGGCGTTCGTCGCTTGTTCGTCGCTTGGAGTTCAGTGGTGAGCGTGAACGCGGCGGCGCGTCGTTATAGATTTTTGCCGCTTGAATTTCGTCGTGAAAGTTCGCTCCATGGAGTCCAGCCTTTAGAGCTGCGCTCTAAAACGAGAAAAGTAGGATGACGTCACGGCGACGTCAAATATGTTGATCACCCACTCCGGCAACTAGGACGGGTACAGCGGTTAACATCCATGTTCGCTCAAGACGCTCTTTCTGCGCTCAAGCGTAGGGTTCTTATTTCCGCCACCTCAAAACATAGCGTTACAATCGCCGCCTCTCCTGCTGCCAGGCCACCCCTACTGGCCCCTAGATGGCGCAAGTTGTCCTGTCGCGTCTTAGGCGGCCGGTACGCTGCCGCTCGTTCCCCCCCCCCCCCCCCCCCTTTCCCCCGGTTTGCTTGCCTGATTTCATTTCTCCTCGATTTCATTCTCGTCTTCTGGGGCTTTTATTTTATATCTTTTTTTATAAACCACTGTAGCGCAACTTCAGAGAAGCTGCTCCTCAAGTGGGTAGGAGGCAAGGAGCACACATTTACTTTTCATACATTCTTTATTATTTACACAGATCTCATACATAAAATGGAAGATATATACAGATATTACAATTTACGGAACAATAGAACAGATGGCACGAGAAGCACGTAAGAGCACAATGAAAGAAATATATATTTATAAAATATATCGCACCGCCACAGTTTTGATCAGCAGAAATTTCAATGTTTTGTAGACAAAAATTGTGAATTTTAAGGGCTCCGACTGTTCTGCCAAAGAACTAAGATTCTCCATCACATTATCCTTGTATGCCAGACTGAGAATACACGCCAGAAAGCACTCAAGCTTGCCCACAAAAATAAGGCAAGGGTCTGTGGGCAAAAAGAGAGCACCAAAAATGCCTGTGTCGTCCTGTGCGCTTAGCACCTGGTACGGTTCGATCTGCCTGAGAATTTCAGGTGTAACGTCGCTCATACGTATGAAAAAACGAAAACAAACGTGTGTGAAGTGCTGTGTTCACGGGGTTTCTGCCGCACGAGACTGAAAATCGCAACCAGGATCGCACAACATGAAATTGGCTTGAAACGAAAGCGACGAAAACCGAAACTTTACCTCTCGCTTCGGAACTCCTTTGGGAATAGAAAGAACGACAAGATTTTCAACTTGCTGGAGTTCCCGCACCATTTCTCAGGGTAGTAGCGCCAAGGTATCCTCTTCCGAGAGCACCAGAACTTTAGAAGTAAAATTAGCGCGGACCGACGAACACCACGTTTTCCGCAAAACACTCGGAGCAGAAGACCATAGAGTTATTATAATGTACAGCTAGAAGGTTCAAGTGGCGCTAGTGTGCTGAGGCAAATTGATGCAGACAGAAACTAGTCTAAAACTGACTTCCGGTAATGTAGTTGTATGGAAAAAGGCGCACGCATTTCCTCTCTGCGCTCAATTATATGAGAAATTATTAAGAAGAAACCAAGCCTGATAAATAGTTTATAACATTTCTCAATCATATATGCAATTAAATGTAATTTACAGAGGATTTTTCTGTCGATTTCATGGCATAAAACAGAGCGCTAAAGTAGCTAAATATACGTGTATACTACGCGATTATGGTTGAGATCGCTGCCGCAGCCTGCGTATTTACCGTGGTATTTACCCATAAAAACGCAACCAAAAATCGCATACAGTTAAATAAACTGCTC